CCCCAATGGGGGCCCCAGGTTTAGGCGATAGAGCAAAAACCTTGGCCTGGGCCTCTGATATGTTACAATGTCGTTTTCTGACCATCAGAATTCTGTAAAATATCTCACCAAAGTCCTGGAAATGGCATTTCAGAGTCTAGATTCAAAAATTTTCCGGATGAGCATGCCCTGGACCCCCTAGAAAACTCGTGCATATACGGCGCTCAACTCGTGCATTTGGCACTTCTACTAGGGGGGCCTTCGAAAATTTTGACCCGGCGGCCCCCTGATATAACGTTACGCCACTGGCAATGGGTAAAGTCATTCCTGATGCAAAAAGTATAAGAAGTAATAGTGAAGGGTCAATTGTGACAGAATCAAAAATCAAAAGAAAACTTCCCAGGACATTTCATCAGTAAGCAATTTATTTTTATTTTTTTACAGTGTACTATTATATTGATTGAAATTAGACCTGCATTAACATGATAAACATCCCTAAGGATGAAGTACTATGAAAACAGTTGATACAAAATGTTCATCAAGAAAAGTGGTCACCCAAAAAGCAGATGTTTATATGTTCTGACCACTTTTGTTCTGGTTGCATTGTCCATACTGTTCTGTTCTCAAAAAGCAGACACTTATATGCTCTGACCACTTCTGTTCTGGCTTCATTGTTCATTGTCCATATGTTCTGGCTTCATTGTCCATACACAATCTTTTTACTGAGCTAGATCACCATATTTTTGACTCACCAGTTGGTGAAAATCATGTTATACCGGGTGGCCCAAAAAAAAGTACTCCTGTTTGATTCGTAATAACATCTAAACAAGTATAGCTTTTAAAGAGAAATAACTTGCATCAAATAGAGGAAGGACTAACTTAGACTTTGATATATTACAGTTGTATTTCACTTAAAAATTCATGGAGATATTAATCTTTAAATTCGGGAGGATATTTCTGGATGTGTCTGAAATATGCAAAAATCGGCGTATCAAATATTAATCAAGATTTGCCCTACTGAAACATGCACTATTACCAGTAAATAAATGACACTTGACAAATTGTTTATTATGAAACAAAGTATTATTATATCTACAAAATACAAGCAAGATTCATTCGTCCGAAATTCGCGTGTGTTCCTAGCACGAATACGTTTCCTTATTTCATGAGACCACTGCATCGCGAAGGATCGTCATTGGATCGTTAGTAGTTCTGAATTAGGGCATGCTGTCACAACGGAATTGTGAAGCTCTTCTAACTTCTGCAACGTTCTGAAATCTTGTTAAGAACACCCAAACTCTTTTGCCGTTTCTTAATCTTGGCAAGTTCATGGAGTAAACTGAGAATTATATGAAACACAACCAAACCATACAACTCCATAAGACATAACAATTAAGCAACTCCCCAGAGACATGCAACATTTTTGGAACAAAACGTAACAAAATAGTAGCGTTGATACGGTGATGTGTATTTGCAAAAAGCAATATTATTTCCTTCAATAAAGAAATATTCATCCTGCTCTAACCGAGAAATAATCTACTCAGTCTGTTTGAACCCATTAAAAACATAAAAAAATTAGGCTATTTAAGAATACGAAAAATTTAAGCGCCTGCCTTCCATGGTCAGTCTTTCATGTACATTTAAGTTTGCAAAGACCTAATACTAAATACTTGCATAATTTCGAACGTTCATATTTCAGGAAACAATGAGCTAAGACTTACATGTAAGATGTCTAAATCTACGCCATATCCCTTACAAACCTTAGCGATAATTCGCTGAAATACAAGTTAGCCTAATATGTCATTAAGCAAACAAACGCTGGAGTTAATATTTGATATGCCGATTTTCGCTAATTTTAGACACATTCCAAAATATGCTCCCCATTTTTAACATTAATATCTCCGTGAATTTTTAAGTTAAATACAACTGTAATATGTCAAAATCTAAGTTAGTACTTCCTCTATTTAATGCAAGTTATTTCTCTTTAAAAACTTTACTTGTTTAGAAGTTATTACGAATCAAACAGGAGTACTTTTTTTTGGGCCACCCGGTATATTTCAGTTGACCAAGAGCATCATCAAGAGTTACTGTGAGGTTAAATTTTACCATCTTGGAAAAAAGACCACTGAGAATTCATCTGGACAAAAAATTAGAAAGAAATTAAATAAACTTGTACCTTTTACTGTAAGCACCAGTGTGAGTGATTACACAGAATGTATCAGAGAAAGCTAAATATTACTAAAAATTTACTATGAAACTGCTCAAGCTGAAAGTGCAGACTCTGCCTCAAACATAATTTTACTAAAGATTTATATAGTGATAACTGCCCAAGCTGAAAGTGCAAACTCTGTCTCAAACGTTCACTAAAGATTTAGAGTGAAAACTACCCAAGCTGAAAGTGCAGACTCAGACTGTCTCAAACATTTCACTAAAGATTTACAGTGAAAACTGCCCAAACTGAAAGTGCAGACTCTGTTTTTACAGTATAAACTGCCTACGCCGATAGTCGAAACGTTACTTACCAACTTCCATTTCCATAAAGTGGTGCCAGAAACCGTAAGTACATGTATTGATTAGACGATACTTCACCAGAGAATCACTCACAGATTCAAAACAAGTATATAAAGCCAATGTCGTAATTCGAAATTTTTAGCCTTAAAATGCGATTCAAAGACAACAACATCGCCAATTAATGTTTTTTCTTGTACCCTTTTCCAAAAAAGCTGCGATTTCAAGGCGAACGACCAATATGGCCGCCGCCTATTTCCATGGGGGAAACCGCTGAGATTTTTGGCTTCAGTTTTGTATTCCGAGATGCGCTATCCAGTGAACTCTATATATATATATATATCTGGAACGATAACATTCAGTCATTTGATTGCGAAAAAAATGAAGCCTCGATACCAGTCTTTCACGCGGATTGGACGTCAGTCTCAGTCCCTCAAACGTCAGGTTTACGCGGATTGGACGTCAGTTTCATTCCCCCTCTTGCAAACCGTTGCACGGCCAGTATAAATTTGAACGCAATCACGAAAAAAAAATTAAAAACATGGCCAACTCAATGCAATACATTTTAGGAGCAAACAGTTTTGCTCCTAAAATTTACTGCATTGAGTTCGCTGTCGGAAAAAAGTCGAGGAAAACTTCACCGTGTGGAGAAAAGAATCACTTTTTCAAATATATTGTGTCGTACTGTCGTTCTGGATGCACAAGGAAGGAGATATTCTTGCGAGAAAATTTCATTTCACAGGTAGGTAAATTGACTTGCAACTGTGACTTTGCCGTTGCCATTTTTCGCGATTGTTTGAATTGTTTTTAGTTTACCAGTTTTATAGTTTTTAGTCAATACACTGGTACGTTATTTTTTAAAGAATTTATGTGTGATCGGAATTTGCCTGCCAGCAAAATGTAAATGAATATGTACGTGTTTTGAATATAAATTAGACCATATGGGCTTAGTAAAAAATTATTTTAATAACTACGTTTCGGAGTATAACTCCATCTTCAGGTTAAAAGTGAATAAAGATATAAAAACTGTGATAAAAACTTTCAAAACAATTACAAATTTTATATGTAAGTGATTTTTAATACTGTAAGAAAGTTCTTGAACAGTTGATGACGAAGACAATGACGAATACTTATGTCGTGATTTTTTTGTCGGCTTCACTTTTCGCTCGCTGTTATCATTCCAGATATCTATATATAGAGTTCACTGGCGCTATCTAGTGTATATGAGATATCTATGGGCTTAAAGGAGCAGTGTCACCGTTTGCGCAACTTTTCTGCGCATAGTGAAATTTGATATCGTTGGGCCAACGTTTTCAAACAACACCGCGGAAAAACGTCTGCGCATGCACCAAATTATGAAAATATGGCGGGTAATTTGAATATCAATTTCTAAAACAAAAACATGCTTATTAATTGGTCAAAAATTAGTAAAACAAACGAGAAAATATAGCAAATGGGTAGACTAGACATTAATTGAAAGCGTCCTGGCATTAAAGTATGGAATGAAATATAATTCATGTAAAAAATTGTTGATTTTAACGGACACGACTTCGAAAATTTTTGCAAAATTATTCAAAACAAAAATTCAAACTAAAAAGTTAAGAAAACTCTCGAAAAGTTAAGCTTCTTAACCCATTCAAATTGTAGAATAAATCCTATAGTTTAATTATTGTGAACACGAAAATTTTTTATATTTGGCGACATAGTTTTTTTTAAAGAAATGTATCTCAAACGAAAATTCGGAAATTGTCGTTGCTTAGTTGATAAACAAAATGTTTCAGACGATAAATTTGTCAACAATCACCTTTAGTTCATGTTCTTGTACAATACAATTTCTTGAACCTTCTGGCTGTATTTATTCCTAGCTTTTAGAATGACATCTTTATTTTCGCGCTCGAAATCTGGCTGTAAAGACGCACAACGAAGTCACTCCTTTTTACCGCCATTTTGAGCCTTCGGAAACGTTCGGAACAGCTTTTCATCAAGTTCGTAATACTATTACAGGTAAGGTTGACGCATACGCAGACGTTTTTCCGCGGTGTTTTTTCAAACTATTTCACTATCATATTTCACTATTCAAGATGGCGTCCTTGCAGGGAGCTGTGCGAGGAGGTCATCGTGAAAATGCAGGACGAAAAAGGAAATATGAAGGCGAAAATCGAAGAAAATCGTGGGGAGGTCAACACAAGAGGATCTATTTATTGAATAACATTTTTGAAGCGTGGAAAAGCTCAAAAAGCGAGGCGGGATACGACAAATGTAGTCATAGCGACTTCGCCGCGCATCTGTTATCTTTAGAGTATAGAAGAAGGTACGGATAATGAAATTTGTATGTTTAAGTTTGATTCAATTTGTAAGACGTAATGAAATGTGTGCTGTTTAACTATTTTAGGTCGGAAATAAAGCATTCACAGCGACGAACGCAAAGTGAAGCAACCACCGAATGTGCTACAGAAATAACAGAACAAGCCATTCAAAATATTTATCAAGGTAATCCCTGTGCGTCCACAAACATAAATAGCCCCAAATGATATACTATTAAGCCTGCCGCACACGAGAGCTATCTGCTGAGCAAAAAGTTACTCGTGCCTGTTAGCTCAGCTGATAGCTCACCGATCAAACATGTTTGATACGTGAGAAAAGGTTGCATGAGGCAAAAAACTCAGTAAAATGTACCCGCACACGGTGAGCTATCGGCTGAGCTAACAGGCACGAGTAACTTTTTGCTCAGCAGATAGCTCTCGTGTGCGGCAGGCTTTACAGTAAACAAGCAACAGAATGCTATATCAATGTTGATGAATTGTCAAATGGGTAGTTCAATGAATGGATGTAATGCATTGAACATGGCCGATTACAATGGATTACAATTTCTTTAAGGCCAAGAAACATCCACGCCGTTAAAAACTGGAGAAAGCCTACAGCTTCCTTCTCCATCTGAATCCCCTGTTATTGGAGATGAAGTCGAGGATAATACCATTGCAACAATTGATGCGAATACAAGCTTTGCTCGGTCTGATGCAACCCTTCTTGACAGGTACTGATTGTAAAGTAATATTTGTAGTTTATTATGGAATTGTGAATGTGCGTAGCAACAATATATTTGTTGTATCTCAAATTATTTATATCTGGTTCTACTATAACCAATGCAATAAATGTGTCCATGTTCACGGATGATCACCAATGGCTAGGGGGACAATGTGACCATGTTGATACAGATGGTGATGATAGCCATGACAAAAGTCTTCCCTTTTTTGATCGTCGAGATAAAGACTTTATCGAGTTACAAAAAGTTATTTTAAACTCTCAACTACTTGACAGTTTCAAGTATTATACTCGTTTCAGGTAAAGTAAAAGTGTCTTGTCACAAGCCCTAGTTGCAGGTGTGACGTTGCGAATATCCCGTGATTGGGGGGGGGGGTGCTGCCAGCCCGAAATTTCCAACAGAATTTCAAAATTTTCCAATGACCTCCCCCCTCTGCCCAAATATTTTTCAGAAAGACCTAACATAAAGGTGGCTTTTAGCCCTATTTACGATACTGGGTATTTAGGTACCTCTTCCCCCGAAAAAATTGTTGCTGTTTATTGTGCCAATGGACACTGCATTTGGGGGGGGGGGCACCCCCATAGCTACGTCCCTGCCTGGTTGTTACAATACATGTCTCAAAGACAATGTTGAATTATATAGGCATTTTTTTAAATATTTCATCTGCTTTAGGCATACTGGTAGTATTGAGTGTGTGAACAGTCTTGGTTTGGTATATACTCCAAAGAGAACTCCCTTCAAGTAAGTTTTTAGCAAGTATGAATATGACACATTGATGGTACTCCAAGTGTCCATGCCAAGCAGGCTGAAAACCTGGCCATGGTGAGAATTGAACCTGCGATCTGCTGTGCCCAGTCAACATCAATATATCATATTCACCTGAGTATAAAACACCAACACAAATTTTCAAAATACAAAAAAAAATATTACAACCCCTTATTTTTTTAAGAAATATTTTAAATTTTTTATGACACCCCGCCCCCCTCTCTAGTGAGAATATATATTTCATAGCCACCCCCCCCCCATTCATGCTGAAAATATGTTTGTGCCCCCCTTTTACACCTTAAAACTTTTTCGTAGCCCCCCATTGGGCATTAATAATGACTGATTAATTTAATTTTAGTTATCAAACTTACAAAGCAAGACGGCAACTCACTGCTATTGATTGGAATTTCCATGTTGACCTCCCACAGAAAACATCCAAGTCTGGTAATAACGTTGTCACCCGAAAATACAACCAGAGAACCCGGCAGTGGGATATTAAGAAGGTGAAGCAAGAAAAAGGATATGCATACATCCCAGTGCTTATTTCCCACATGATGAGGAGAAGAGCTATGGACACAGATTTTGTTACAACAGTCGTTGATCTGAACAAGAGCGACCCGGCCCTTATATCGCCAACTATTGCACATGTTCCACAACCAACCACTAAAGAAATCATTACAAGAAGAAGCAGATTTGCAAAACAATAAAAATTGAAGATTGATGTCAGTGATTGCTGCCATTTCAAAATGCAGTGACTAATTAATGTAAATATTTTGAGGCAATTTGCTGTGCTTCTAAAATTTAAGGCAATTTGCTGTGCTTCTAATATTTAATGTACACAATTAATTATCTATTTTTTTGTTATCAGTGCAAATTTAAATAAATAATCACAGCTCTAAATATGAACTAAATATTAACCATTATGTACATTGTACCGTACCAATGCACTAACTTGTTATATGCACTCAGAAGAATTGGGTTCAAATGTTTGGATTTATAAGTTGGTGCATTTCAGCAGAGTGCCACTGAGTCAATAGATTTAATATACACTGTAACAGCAAATGATGCAATCATGGCCGTAGGAACCATGGGGGGCAGGGCCCCCTGAAAATTCTAATTTCTAAGTGAATCTCGAAATGAATGCACAGTTGCACATGTTTTGAGTTTGCATAATACAGATCAATCTAGGTAAATCTAACCCCTGGAAAGAGTGGAAAATAAAAATCGCTGTTGAGCCTGCCTTATTTTTACCATCTTCCTTCAGCCCTGTATGCAATGTCCATGCAACACATTATGTTAAGGTACATAGTTTACTGTACTTAGTTTTCCCTATCCCCCATGTAAACTCCAGTAATGGATGGCCACCGTTCCCTTATTTTCATTACTACACATGAAGGGCAGACTCGTCTGTTTCCTTTACGAAGATGCCCATGGCGTGCAAGAATAAATTGCCTATAGGCTGCTTTTCGAAAAGCCCTACTGCTGTTGTCTTCTCTATCGTTTCTTATATCCCCTGTGTTTCTTATGCACAACTCTATCACATCAGGATCCAGACACAATTTCGCGAATCGGGAAGAAAGCGTTATGCATTTTTTAAGTTTGCAACATTTATTCTCGACATCTTGTGTCATGGGGTGACATCTGCCACAAACACACCAATCTGGAACAGAACCTGATGCTGAATCATCTATCTGATCTGGGTTATGTGTGTCGGAAGGAACAGGACCTTTGTTCTTTGTTTCACTGTCTGCCAATGCTGAACCAGTTGGTTGCTCAGTTGATGCTTGACCAAACTCACCAAAATTTTCATCCTCATCAAGATCATCCTCCATTATGAGCAATGTTTCTATGTAGTCCATACTACCGATCCCTCTTCGCAAGCTTCTTATAGCTAGTTTTTTTACCATGGCCTCATCTAAGGTTGCAATAAAATCCTAAAATTGTACAAATGTATTTGTAGCCTATATAAAATAATATATTCTTGGCTTTCAACTATTCACAGGAGAGACAAATGGACAAAATGTCCACCAGTGACTGTGGTTTCTTTTATCAAGACGACCAGCATGGCTGTCATGTCTTTTGTTCAATTGTCTCTCCTGGGAATAGTTGAAAACCAAGAATAGGTTAAATTCATGTTCATAAGTTCAACAATGAGAATAAATTTACTTTTACTTGTGAACCCAAAGTGAAACTATAAATCCTTTCAAATGCACTATAACCAAGTACCTGCATGTACAGTACCTTACTGTAAACTGTATATGTATACAGTATTTCAATATATTGAAAAATCTCTATTACAGACCCTATAAGTTAACCTTGTTTACTTTTTTTGGTAGTCAAATAAGCATGAACGAGAGCAATGCTGCATTAGCAGAGTAAGAATACAATACAATACATTCTAGGTAGTTTTTGCCTGCCAAAAACGTAAACAAAGTTTACCAAACATGCAAAAAGGGCTTCATTTAAAACGTATTCAACAAATTCAAGTATGCGCTATACCTTGACATCTTTGTGCTCCTTTTCCCTCTGTGTCTCCTCTGACTCGGTTGGTTTAGAACTAAGACGAAAGCCTTTTTCTTTGCCTTGTTTTGCACGAGTATCCGTAGCTTTTTCACTCCTGTTGTCTCTTTCCCTTCCCATGTTTTCTGTCATTGCCTAGACGAAAATCATAAAAGCAATTGTTAAATTCATGCTTTCGATTTATCATTTTAATGTTTAAATTAATATATTGACATACTTACTCTATTCTTGCAAGGTTTATCGCGAGTACCACACCGGCATTTATCCGAACATTCGACATTTCGCCCTTTGCAACGACAACCTCGAGTTCCATTCTCTTTCCTTTTTACACTGCAAGAACTTTTACAATCACAGTGGCTTTCCTATGCAAATGTGGGAATGATCAATTCAACATTTTCCATCTATGTATTGTATGCAAATAAATGCAAATTTTTACTCACCATTTTGATTTTTCACACTTGCGCCGAATGGTACCGGCCATTTCCGAAATGTTTTGTTTATGCGCAGCAAAGATGCGCAAACGGTGACACTGCTCCTTTAATACTCGCGTTTACCTGTAAATATTCGGCATATTCTTCCAAGTTTATACAATTTTATATATTCTAGAATTCCGCCATATTGGAAAACATTTACGGGATTTACCAAGCCTGTGAGCGCCTGCTTTTCAGGCTAGAAAACAATTTGTGCTAGTCCTCTTGCACACGTTTCGTGGACTTGGGACTAGTCTGCTTTCCTCCACAAGAGGGAAGAGCCTGGAAACGAGGTTGTCATTTGTGTCGCATCAGCGAATTACTACAATAGGTTATGGCTGATTTGAATTTAAAAGGTTTACTTTCATACAAAACATTTTTTAGTTCTTGCTGGTAATTTGAAATTACGCTTTATTGTTATCATGCATTTTGCTTACATTTGAAGCCATTTTTGAAGCCATGCACCTAATAGCTTTTTGATTAAGTTTTGACAAATATTGAAGTGTTTGTTGTTATAGTTCAATTAAACAAACCAAAAGGAACGAACCTGGGCGAATTTAAAGTTGTGCGAACAAGTCTTGCGAATTGAGTATGACGTGAAGTTTAATACAAGTAAGGTATACAATACATGGATTTGAAACACCTAACCATATATTTTATGATACATTACCCAGGAAGCATGCTCAGCTATTGCAATTCTAAACTCTGTTAGTATACATGTAAACTACAATATAATATATCACAGTGTAACTATTTCTATAAATTTCATTTACACTACTCACTAGTCTTTATAGAATTACATAGACTACAACAGGTCTACAACATATTAAATAGTTTATAGTTTATATAGTCAGGGGTTTTTTTTCAGGGATTTTTTAGGGATTTTTCGGGGATTTTTTCAGGGATTTTTTCAGGGTTTTTTTGTTTTCATGTTTTGAATTGATTGTGTGTTAGGTACTGATTGTCTTCTCACAATTACATTATTTTATCTGGTGATTAATTAAAACTGTTTATATAGTTGTTGTATAACACTTCGTCTATTAATTATCTTGAAAACAAAGATTATTTGCGATAGACCTTTCCAAGGTTTCTATCGCCATATTGCAGGGGGTGCAAAAACATTGGGGCGAGCGCGCGGCCACCAATGGCGCCCATACTATTTCCTATTGAGTGAGTGAAAATTACCTTTTGACATTTTGTCCATTTTCGCAAAAAAATTCAATACAAGCATATCCAATTTTTATTTTTAGACAATCGCTGAGTTTTTTCTGATATGTGGCCGAGATTTCTTGCTAATCGAAGGACAGGAAGTAATAAAAAATGGCGGCTTTTGTTGCACAACTTGACTGACGTTTGAGCGATGATTCTTGTTATTTCGTTTGTTTAACCAATCTTTGGAAGAATATTTGTCCATTAAGTGTGTAAGTCCTTTGGTGTCCGCCATTATTACTGTTTATATTTGTACAAAAATCATCGCTCAAATGTCAGTCAAGTTGTACAATAAAAGCTGCCGTTTTTTATTACTTCCTGTTCTTCGATTAGCAAGAAATCTCGGCCATATATCAGAAAAAACCCAGAGATTATCCAAAAATAAAAATTGGATATGCTTGTATAGAAATTTTTTGAGAAAAAGGACAAAATGTCAAAAGGTAATTTTCACTCACTCAATAGGAAATAGTATGGGCGCCATTGGTGGACGCGCGCTCGCCCCAATGTTTTTGCACCCCCTGCAATATGGCGGTAGAAACCTTGGAAAGGTCTATTGTTTTCAGCATACAATTTCAAAGTCAGATGAAAATAATAGTATTTCTGAATGAATATTGGTGGCTTCTAGTTGAAATATTTATGGACATACTATATATCTCTCTCTCTAAATTATTACGGGGGAGGAGTATGTATATATATATATAAAAAGTCATCAATTATAGAGTTCGACATCATTTAATTAATCCAGATATTGAAGCTATAATTATCGAAATTATAAAACCAAACAGCAAACCATTTGAGATTGTTGCATCATATAGGCCACCGGAATTTTCTCTTGGCACGTCGTAAAATTAAAGCAAACTCATTTAATAAGAATTACTCATCGATTACCTGAAGGAAAAGTTCTAAAATAAGTCAGGACAATTGTTTACAAAATGCTGTTCTCCTCTGAAATGTCTTCTTTTGTGGGAAGTCATTAATTTAATGTACTTTCCGAAACTTTCACTTATTTATCATGGAATTACTTCACTATAGATTTTAATAATATCTGTAAGATACTTTTGTTATTTTGTGAAATAAAAGCTATATTTTTAGGTGTTTATCTTTTGATAACAGCATGCGCAATAAGGTGTCACCAATGTGTTTACGTGCATCTGACAAACAACAGAAGATTAAAGACCACTCTTTTACAGCAATCTAAAATGGCTAAATATTACATTCATTTTATTTGAGCATACAAATTATATTTTAAATTTTATATTTTTATCTATAAAGGACTTATTTCAAACTAAAAAAAAATTTATTTTTAGCATCAGATTTCAAAATCTGACATTTTACAGCAAACCTACATTGGCGCACACAACATTTTGGCCATAAATCCACTGTTTTCTCCACAGAATCAAAAGGAATTTCATTTAAACTTCTTACCTGATGAATATTCAAAACGTTTATCTCTTTAATGACTTTCAATGCTCTGATTAGCCAAATAAAAAGCTTTTCATTTTGTCACCACACTCTGCATTTCAAAATGTCGGCTGTCAAAGTCTGAATTAACTCCTTTTCAACTGGCCCTGTGAAAACTATTGCAGAAATAACAACTTGAACAAGAAGACCAACAGTAGGTCATGAAAACAGTTGAAATCATGCCATAAAAATGCATGAGAAGTTCTTCTAAAAACGTATAGTTTTACACTAAATTGAACTTGCTTTAATGCTATTGAATTTTGTGACAGCATTTTGAAACATTGCCATATTGTCACAAGTTTTGTGAAAGAAAAGTTTTAAAATCGAAAATCTTTGCCAATTTTTGATCAATTCTCTTGCATGAAGCCTCATCGTTTGATGGCCCAAATGTTGCACTTTATAGTTGTGACCGTTGCTAGGCAACACAATAAATATGTGCTAGACAATCATGCTCAGGGAAAATCTTACGATTTCAAAAAGAGTTGGGGAATTTCGACATACGAACCCCAAAAAGAAGTATGTGGTCTTTTTACTCCCTGCCATACAATAGAACCACTATGAGATGCAGCCTTCTGCCTCCGGCCAGATCTTTACTGCCGTTGGTTGTTATAGTTAAGACCCTTGCTCTTTTGCTATACTCTTCCTTTTGGCTTTACAGCACCACTCATTGGATTTCCTTTAAAAATAAATATGTCATCCAAATAAAATGCCACATGTTTTGACAAGTAATCTGGAGGACAGGTGTTTCTTGGTCTGTAGAATACCGCTATGTTTAACCACATCCATCACAGCAAAGTTAGGGTCCTCTCACCACAATTTAAGTACAGCTCTGTTAAGCTTTCTCCGGTCACACAATGTCAATGCTTTATGACATCCACGTTTGCTACAACTTTTGTCATTGCCCTTTCCACCTTTGTCTCAAACAATCCGCCACACACTGGACTTCGAAATAAAGCAAAAGCGCTGCAGTGAGTTGTTTTCTCAATGTCATTACATTTGCTCATGTGAAGTGTAAGCCAATGTTTGTGACGTCATTTAATTGAATGTCCAATGTGCGACGTCTTGCATAAGTCATTCTCAATGCGGATTGAATATTCTTTTACTAACTACATAAACTAACTGCAGAAAACCTTTCAAATATTTTGGTAGTTTACAGACAATCATTAACAAACATGTTTGTGATGGACCATGTAAACAACAATTGTTGTTATTTTGTATAAATTCGCTTATTCAACTCATTTCCCTCAGCCGCCCTAAATCAATGTTGACGTAATTGAGGTGAAATCACATTAAATTTCTGTGTTTTTTCTGTGTTGGTGTTATGTACTCAGGTGAATATGATGTTTTGTCATTTTACTCTGAGTGTATATCCACACTGGACAAACTTGAAAAACATGCAAAACAAAATTTTTGTTGTTACCCAATACAACATTGATTTTGGGGCTGTGGGTTGGTCTGAGTAAAAGGTTAATCATTTCAATTAAATTGTCAATGATTGTAGCTCAGGTCATTGTACAATTGTAGAATGGAAATACAAATGAATAAAATGGCCTTTGCCCATTGTAATGAATTGAAATACATTTTACTCCAACTTACAACTCTTGATTTTGATGCAAAGTGGAGATTACAAATTCGCTTATGATCATTCACAATACGATCACACAACAAGGCAATTTGAAAGTTTGCAAAAATTGTTCTGTCTATACAAAACTAAACTATAGTCAACAATATTAATGATTTATTTAATGGTTTCTGCTTACTGCACTTACATGGCTTAACTGGGAAAGAGGTGGTGGATATTTTGCAACTGCTTCCTCAACTGGAACTCCACAAAGAATTTGCCTTCTCAGCACAAAAGTAGTTTCCATTACCTCCTTTGCCAATTTTACATCACATGGCTTTTGCCAATTTTTTCCATATCACCTTGTTATCGCCCTGATAAAGGCACTACTGTGATTTGTGATAAATATTTATATATAACCCCCTGTTCTTTGTAATTTTCTTATCTGCTAAACAAGGATATTTCTTTATGACCATCTTGGACACATCTGTAAACAAAATAAACACATCTGTAAACAAAATTAAACATTTGCGGTTGAGCAAGTGATGTTAGTTATTATGTAACAGACTTTTGCTGAACATGATGACCGATATGATGTTGTTACATGTCAACACCAGTTCAGTTGTTTCTAAGACCCAAAATTAAAATGATATGATGCAATATTGATGGCATAAGTGACAAATCATCAAATGAGTAGTGACAAATCATCAAATGAGTCTGAGGCTTTATCAGACCACGAGCCAGACAACTGCGAATCACTTCCAATAGCAAATTAAAAGTCGAAGCAGGTCCAGAATAAGCGATATGCTTTTAGACAGCAATGAAAACATTACTTCAAACAAAACTAATGGGGTTTTAAAGTAAATGTACTTAAAAACAACACACAAGATACCCAAGTGACATTTAGAAAGTGTTATTTAGACCCAAGTTCTGAAATAACAGCCATCATAAGTTGATTTTGTTGCTGCTGTTGTTGCATAATCATAATACACATAAATAACCAGACAATAATAAAATGTTAAACTGACAAGAACTCTTTATAGCTTGTATAACACCTCTTTGGTACCAGGTGACTGTTAAACCATTGAACAGCCTTCTTTAATGCTCAATTAAAGTTGACACTTATTTTGGGATTAAAATTTGTTTGTTCTGCAGAAAATTTATTCATAACACTTGGTGAGTCATGAAAATAAAGAAAGAAAATATTTAATCAGGCACTTACTGAGGAGTCCTCTTTTGAGCATGTGTTTATCCAGCAGGTAGTTATTCACTGCACTATCCATGCCTCGTGCAACACATTTTTATCCTGCGTATAACTATCCTTTGGATAAGCAATTTATCTGTTGGATAGGACTTATCCACTGGATAAGTTATCCACCTTTCGAACAACTGGCCCCTGTAGTTTACCATATGAAATCACTGCCAACAGCTAAAATGTTAAATATGCAACTTCAGATAACTTAAAAGGTGCCTTTGACCTGCCACCAGAGGAGGTCTCGTAAGTATACCACAATGCACTGCGGTTTTGGACCATGGTATACATATTATCAATTCTCCGGCGCAGCTTGCTCAGTGTTTGTTGGCTGTCGTTGTAAACACATCTAAGAAAATCTATTGTTTTAGAAAGTGGCGCATATTTTTCGCTCAAGGCATGGGATTAAATCTTCTCTTTTGGAAGCAGTGAAGCACCTCATCTGATTTATGTTTGTTGGGTCCTCACAGCCTTTGTATCTAGCCCCTGATGGAGTAACATGTGTTGAGCAGTGCCGTAAGATTAAGGTTAGTTTCAGCTGAGAAGCCATGCAATTTTTCTATCAACTGTGAATGGGGTTAAAGTTGCCCAAATGTTTACCGAATGATGCATTCTAGTTGTGTTTTTAAGGTGAGCTTTTCACAGTAAGAGGTTATATTGAAGTTGTAGATATTCGAGCAAACTTTGTAGAAACATCAAACATGCACAGCCTCAATAAATATGGATACGATTTATCAAATTTGCCATGTTTTAATAGGGTATTATAAAATTGCCATATATACTAAATGTAACTAGCACCAGTTATATCGACTTCAGGGATAATATTCACTACGGAAACTTCAAATCGTGATAAAGATTTAAAATCATAACAAGTTTTGGAAGCCACTTTAATAAACATGCACCATTAATCAATAAGAAAGTCAGGGGTAGAGAAACACCATGGATAACCAGTAAAAGTAAGGACAGCATGAGGGAAAGAGATCACTTTCTTACTAAAGCAGGATCGAGTAAGTCTGAATTGGACTGGAGTAAATATCGAAATTTACGAAATACAGTTACGCGAGAAATACGAAAAGCAAAAGGCCAGTACTATAGAAACCTATTGGAGGAAAATCTTGACAATCCAAGTAAATTCTGGAAAGCTGTTAAAAAGCTTGTCCCAAATGAAAAGTCATCTACCAAAGCTAGCACCACCCGAATTAAGTATGATGATAAACTAACCGAAGACAATTACACAACAGCTAATGCTTTCTGTAATTTCTTTTGTAACCTGGCCAAATGAATGAACAACGAATTAAACGATTGTTCCTGTACTCTAAATATTATTCACCATGCCAGATCTGTGAATGTATTTAATTTTACTCCGGTACTTCCTTCATCTATATTATGCCATCTTAAATCGATTAAGGTATGCAAATCCAGTGGAATTGACGCTATCCCAGCAAAATTACTACGAGACGCTGGATCAGAAATATCTGTTTCCCTAACTGGTCTTATTAATCTATCATTATTTCTTGGGAACATCCCTGACGAATAGAAAGTGGCGAAGGTGATACCTATTTACAAGTCCGGAACGCATGATAATCCTGATAATTATCGACCTATTTCCATGCTTCCAGTCCTTTCAAAGATGTTGGAAAGAGAAGTGCATACTCGGCTCTATAGACAATAATAATAATTTATTCAAATGCATGACCTAATTTACAGGTATTGCTAGAATATTCTATATATATATATATATATAATTACATACAGTACAAGGTATTGAAGAAACGAACATATATAAAGTGAAAGTGTCATTATAGTGATTTATACATCTATTTTATGGATAATATAGATCGTATTCGTAGTTTCTAAGTAAGGGTTTTTTTTATGAAAGATTGGAAAACAATTTGCAGTGTGATTTTCGCAATGAATTTGAAATTAGCTGCAGTCGTTTTTTATTACGTATTTTCCATGGGTTTGAGGCTATTTTCTCGCTCTGTTAAGCAGAGAGAGATAAATTTAGAGAATAGGTTAATGAGAACAATGTCATTTGAGGACATTAGATGTTCTAGTAGTTTTTGTTTAGTCTGAGATGTTGTACTCAATTGGAAAAAATCTTTTAATATGTCATTTGTATTGTTTCTTAAAGTTTCATATGTTTTGCATGCAAAAGCAACATGAAATTCATCTTCTACTTCGCCGGAGTTACAAAGTTTACATAGACGTTGTTCGCGTGGAATGTTTTTGTATCGCCCGTATTCAATTTCGAGTTTGTGATTACTGATTCTAAATTTTGAGAAATTTTTTCTTTGTATTGGGTTTTTTATAAGATGTAGATAGTCTTCTAGTTTATAATCTTTTTTGAATTGACAAAAGAAGGACAGTTTTGGAGATTTCGTTATTTTGTGTTTCCAAAATTCAACATATTTTTCTTTTATTCTATTAACTATGGTTTTTGTATCGATATTTCTTAGGGCAATTTCAATATTAGTTGTTTCATCATCTTGAGAATAGTAAGGTTTTAACATGTTCATAGCGTTTGAGTAAAATGATTCTTTTCCATTTTTGTACAGGTCTCTCGAAACAAATAAGGCCTGTTTTACAATTGTTGTATCAGGTAGTTCGAGGATGTGTTTTAGGTAGTTGATTATGTTTTTTTGTATTGTGATTAAAAGCGGAAATTTTCCTAGTTCTGCTCTGCAAGCTGTATTGGTAGCCTTTCTGTTTACTCCCAGATATAGCTTGCAGAACCTTAGGTGGGCTTTTTCTGTTTGTGAATTGTCCCACTTATTGTAGTCATTTTTTTGGTATGCTCCCCAAACTTCAGAGTTATATAATAGAATGGGCGAGATAACTCCATTAAAAATTTTGATAGCTGTCTTGGGTGATAGTGAACTAATGTCAAGTTGTCTGCGAATTTTGTGTAAAGCGTGTAATGCCTTTTCACTAAGTTGCTTTTGTGTGAGTTTAAATTTGCCATTTGGTTCTAATTTAAGGCCAAGATAAGTATATTCTTTAGTAATTTCAACAGTATTGTTACCAATAGAAAAATTCAGTTTTGGAATTTTAGAGTTATGTTTTTGGAAGATCATGATTTTTGTTTTTTTCATATTTACTTCCATTAGCCATTTTTTGCACCAATTATGAAGTTTATTCAAGCAGTTTTGAAGTCCTGATTTAGATCGTGATAGGATGATAAGATCATCAGCATATAAAAGGCTATTTATTGCGGTTCCATTTGGGAATACTAAAGGATCTGATTGTGTTTTTTCGAAAAGTTGTGGTAATTCATTAATATAAATATTAAATAATAATGGGCTTAATATACAACCTTGACGTACGCCTTTCTTATATTGGAAAAATGATGTTCTATAGTCTGATAGTTTGATGGCACATTTTGTTTTCGAGTACATGTTTTTAATTAGTTCGTAAAAGCGTCCTCCTATTTCGTTTTCAAGTAGTTTTAAATATAAGCCTTTATGCCAGATTGAGTCAAACGCTTTTTTAAAATCAACAAAACATGCATATATCTTTCCATTCTCACTTTGTTTTACATATTTATCATGTAATGTTTTTAGTGTGAGAATGTGGTCTGCTGTTCTGTTTCCAGAAATAAATCCTATTTGCGTAGGGTGTATTGATTTCTTTTCTTTAGTATAACATGCTAATCTAGTATTCAGAATTGAGCAGAATAATTTGCCCATACAGCTAGATACGCAGATTCCTCTGTAATTGCTGGGATCTAAAGAGTTTCCTGATTTAAATATTGGAGTTATAATGCCTTCACACCACGATTCTGGAAAGTGTCCGGATATTAAAATGGCATTGAAGACTTTAAGATATCCTTTTAAGAGGATTCCAGTGCTAGATTTGATCATTTCATTTTTAATTTTGTCGCTGTAAGCAGCTTTCTTTAATTTCATATTTTTTGCTGCATTTAGTAAATCTGTATCAGTGATAGTTCCATCAAGTTTATTAAATTGATCCTTGGTTTTTTCATAGTTTTCTAAGCATTCAAGAATTTCTTCTTGCTCATCACCTAATTTATGTTCAGAATGTAGTTTTTCAAAATAAGCCAACCATTCACCTTCTGTGGGCATATTTTTAGTTTCATTGAAATCTAGATTATCAGTACTTGTTTTGAGTGATTTCCAGAATGAAATAGGGTCTTTTTCAGATGCTTTTTCTAATTCTTCAATTTTTTCCATGTGGAAAATCGTCTTTTTTGACTCTAAAGTTTCTTTATAGTGTTTTAGGGCTTTGTGATATGAAGTTCTTATTTCATTGTTACTTGGGTCTTTATGTTTCTGGTTAGCAAGTTTTCTTACTTCATGTCTCTTAAATCTACAATCTTTATCAAACCATTTTTTGTTTGCTACATTGTTAATTTTGTGTCGAAATTTTTTCTTTTTTATTTTGAGTGATTTTTTTGATGTTTCAAGTAGTATATTTTCAAACTCATGAACACATTTGTTAATACCCTCTTTATCGTGTGAAAAGTCATTGTTTAGAAAATCATTGAGCTTTCTTTGGATTTCATTTGATTTTAACTGTTTAATGAAGGTCTCTTTTGAATCAGCTGTCCAAATATACTGACGTGGTAGTTTTTCTAGTGATGGTTGACTTGGATTATCTTTGGTTGCTTCAACCGTTTTGTGTGTATTAATCCAGGTAACAATTTGACTATGGTCAGATAAATAAGTAGGGGCTTTTACCACAAAATGGTTGATATTTTGCGATAAGTTTTGGTTGCAGATTATATAGTCAATAACACTTGTTCCATTTTTCCTATGGAAAGTAGGTCTTCCTAAAGAGTCACCCTTGGTTCTACCATTTAAGATTCTCATGTCAGTGTTTTTGCAAATATTTATAAGTTGTTTTCCATGGTTGTTTATGATTCCATCAAAGTTTTGTCTTTCTAAAGGCTGTAAGGAATGTTCATTGATATTATAAACATGTTCATTTCCTTCATTCGAAATGTAGTCTTCTAGTTTACTTGTCCTAGCATTAAAATCTCCAAGGAGTATAGTATTGCCTTTTGATGAAAAAGAAATTAGGTCGTTCTCAAGTTCATCAAATATCTCAGGTTCAAAATATTTTGATTTTTCAGGTGGTATATAAGTTCCACAAACATACAGATTTGAGTCAGAGTTAAGAATATCTTTGGATATTTTGCACCATAAGAAATTTTTTGTGTTCTTAATCACAGTAACATGTTTTTTAAATTTAGTTTTAAATAATAGAGCAATGCCACCAGATTGTCGGCATGCTTTGTCTGTTAGAGGTTTAGCCACTTCAGAGATAACAGCCTCAAACCCAGGAATGTTTATATTTGCATTGGTCCATGTTTCGGTTAGGAACATGAAGTCAATTTTTGAAAAAGCTTCAAGAAAGTCCTTGTTTTTGGTTTTATCCCCAAGGACTTTGTTGAGTAAACCATTAATATTCCATGTACTAAATGAAATTTCCGAGGTCATGTTTTTTGTTGTTTCTACTTAAGTATATTTTGATAGAGAATGCCGTATAATATTTTTCAAAATAGGTTCTTAGTTTTTCTAATCTTAGGGTTAATACTGGTTTCTAAATTATGTTCTATATAGTATACATAGTATAGTCTTTTAAATATATCTTATAATCTTATAAAATATATATAATATAATCTATAAAACTTACAGTTGTCTTTAGTTGATACAGCCATACAGTTGTTTGATTAACTCAATCAATTGAGGTGGTAGTGAGTGGGTGTGGGTTTCTGAGGAAATGATGGTTGGAATGATAAATTTCCTTTCGCCATTTGTTGCATATTTATGTGAGGTGGTGGTAACTTGACAACGGGTGTGAATGGTGGGTAGTGGTAGTTAGGAATAAATGGGTGGGGTTGATTGTTGTGTAAAGGGCGTTTCTGTTGTTGGGTGAAGTCGGGGTAATTTTTTCTATTAGGTGTTTTCTTCGGTGTTGTATTGAAATAGGCAGCTTTGATATTTTTGGCGAAAGCTTTTACTCCATTTTCATTGAGGTGTTTCTTGTCGTAGAGATCCTTGTCGATGTTAATGTTGTTGTGGTGAATAAAGGTGGTATTCGGTATGGTTGCTAAAGCTTTTTCGATTCCATTGTTGATGAGAGGGATATTTTTATTTAATTCATCTTTTCTTGGTAATAAAGAGGAAATGATGATTCTGCATTCTGGGTGTTTTCCTCTAATTAGTTTTGTAATATCCTCAATTTCAGTGGCAAGGTTTTGGTCTGGTGGTAGGTGTTCAATGTCATTGGTTCCACAATGAATTATAAAATTTTTCGGGTTAGTAAAGTTAGTGTTTTGAATTATGTGCTTTGCTTTGGCAACTGTGGGGCATCGGATATAACTGGTTGTTGAGTTTGGGCAAAGTAATTTTGGTTTCAGATAATGTCCATTACTATCACATAGGATGATGGTTTCTGTATTATTGGATTTATGGGTTGTTGTGGTGTCGTGTTTATCTGGTTGTTGGTCATCTTTATTAGATTGAGTGGTGTTGTTCTGTGGTTTAAGGTTGTTGTTCTTCGGTTGTAAGCTGTTAATTGCGGGTTGAGGGCTGTCCTTCTTTGGTTGTGGGTTGTCTTTACTTGTTTGGGAGCTGCTTATATTTGTTTGGGGGTTCTCTTTCTTTGTTTGGGGGTTCTCTTTAGTTATGTCGGTTTGTGTTGGTGTTGTTTCGGTGTGATCTTTGGTGGAAAGGGGTTCAAAGCTGTTTGATGTTGGGACGCTGTATGTCTTGGTTGGGTTATTGGAGGACATCGACGCCCATGTGGGAATTTCAGGTTGGGATTCTTTTTGTTTTGTATTCAACATTTTTAATAAGTTTGTGTTTTTTTCTTCGATTTTTTTGTATCGTTTATTCATGGCATTAATATCTTCTTTAATTTGCAACTGGTTTACTGTTAGGTCACTTATAATTTGCTGCTTTTCTTTGCCAGCAGATTTTAAAGCCATTATCTCATCTTTTAGGTAACTTATCTCTTCATCTTTCTTTTCTATCGAGACAGAGAGTTCTGAAATTGCATTCTGATTGTTTTCTTTATATAAGATGAATTCTGCCTCGAGGTTTGAAAGTTGTGATTTCATTAAAGAGAATGTCATTTCTCGAGATGTAGTCGGGGTCATATTCTCTTCAGAGGTTTTTGTTGGTGCTTTCTCAGTGGGAGAAGATGGTTGTTGGCTTGTTTTTTCTTTGTTTGTGATCATCTTCATGAAGGGTTTGATGCTTTCGGCGTCCCACGTCTCATCTGGCTTGTTCACCATGCCGAGCAGATGCTCAAATTCCTTCGCTCCCCATTCTTTGATATATCGTCCTTTGGCTTCGATGCGTCCCGTAGAAATGTTAACTGTGATGGTTAGAGCATTAACGTTGTCATTTACGAGGATAGTTATTGTGATTTTGTCACATTTGCTCGGGCTGTTCGCGTTTTCTTGTTCAGCCCATTGACTAATGTCGGCGTTGTTGAAACCGTCATGTTTGTAGTAGCGAAGGTACAAGGCTTTGATCCATGATAAAAGACGTATTTCCGTGGTTGAAAATGCTACATGGTTAGCATTAGGCTTGTAGATCGTAAAATCCAATTCTTCGAACGGAACACGTTTACAATTGGTGTTTTTAAAGCTATCGATTTCATATCGTTGTAGTGTTGTGTCTGGCGCCATTGTTGTCGTGTCAACCATGTTGATATATATTTCGCTATAACTCGCTCGTTTCTTTTCAATCAAGCGATAAAAGCTTCCAAATGTTTTCCTTTGGGTTTTATGTAATTGATCAGATATTATTTTGGCAAACTCTATCAGTGAATAACTTAGATAATTTCTTTCATCTCGGAGATCAATAATACACGTGTTAGGACATCCGCCATCTTGGTATAGCCTTGATATGAAAATAGTTATGAAAATATACTACTTGAAACATCAAAAAAATCACTCAAAATAAAAAAGAAAAAATTTCGACACAAAATTAATAATGTAGCAAACAAAAAATGGTTTGATAAAGATTGTAGATTTAAGAGACATGAAGTAAGAAAACTTGCTAACCAGAAACATAAAGACCCAAGTAACAATGAAATAAGAACTTCATATCACAAAGCCCTAAAAAACTATAAAGAAACTTTAGAGTCAAAAAAGACGATTTTCCACATGGAAAAAAGTGAAGAATTAGAAAAAGCATCTGAAAAAGACCCTATTTCATTCTGGAAATCACTCAAAACAAGTACCGATAATCTAGATTTCAATGAAACTAAAAATATGCCCGCAGAAGATGAATGGTTGACTTATTTTGAAAAACTACATTCTGAACATAAATTAGGTGATGAGCAAGAAGAAATCCTTGAATGCTTAGAAAACTATGAAAAAACCAAGGATCAATTTAATAAACTTGATGGAACTATCACTGATACAGATTTACTAAATGCAGCAAAAAATATGAAATTAAAGAAAGCTGCTTACAGCGACAAAATTAAAAATGAAATGATCAAATCTAGCACTGGAATCCTCTTAAAAGGATATCTTAAAGTCTTCAATGCCATTTTAATATCTGGACACTTTCCAGAATCGTGGTGTGAAGGCATTATAACTCCAATATTTAAATCAGGAAACTCTTTAGATCCCAGCAATTACAGAGGAATCTGCGTATCTAGCTGTATGGGCAAATACTAGATTAGCATGTTATACTAAAGAAAAGAAATCAATACACCCTACGCAAATAGGATTTATTTCTGGAAACAGAACAGCAGACCACATTCTCACACTAAAAACATTACATGATAAATATGTAAAACAAAGTGAGAATGGAAAGATATATGCATGTTTTGTTGATTTTAATTTAATTAAAAAAGCGTTTGACTCAATCTGGCATAAAGGCTTATAATTTATTTAAAACTACTTGAAAACGAAATAGGAGGACGCTTTTACGAACTAATTAAAAACATGTACTCGAAAACAAAATGTGCCATCAAACTATCAGACTA